AAATATTATTTACTAATTGAAAATAAGTATAACTGAGTTCATTATCCTTAATAATTATATTAATATTTAGTGTATTATTATTTATTAAAGAAAATTTAGAAGAGATAAGTATAAATAGATAATAGATATAGCCTGATAGTTGTGAAAAGAAGTAATCAGCTAAAAGTTGAGATGCATGTAAAAGATGTATATAGCATTTACTATAGTCAAGTTTTATTAATATAGTAAGTGTATAATTGAAATTATTAGATTGAGAGAAGTTGTAATAGTGAATATGTTTTAAAAAAGAGCTAAATATTTGTGGATGTATAAGTAAAGGTAAATTAAAGCATACTAGCTATTGATTATAGCATGAATTTGAATTGTATAATGTATTATAGGTTGAATCTTGTAGTGTTTTCTTAATATGAGATAATAAAATAAAGTTCAAAAAAGTAAGAAATTTTTTTGCAGTTTTGTTTACCATATGCTTGGCTTTCACAGTTATAAAAAGTATTATAGTCTACTCTGTACTTTGAGTCTGGTTATCATTAACTTGGTTCTTTGCATAAATGGACTTAATTATCTGTTTACTTATATTATTTTCTTCTAAAAATAGTCTATATTTAATAAAAAAACATCATAATTTTAGAAGTAATAGTTGCTTTTATAAGTACTATAAAAGATTTTATTAAAAAAGAGCCTTTTCTTTATTTTTCAAAAAGAGTGGCTCCCCAATTGAAATGAGTATTTCAAATTTGATATTAAATTTGTTATATAAAATTGTTTCTGTTTCTAATATAGCTTTTTCTTTATAGAATTTAGTTATTTCAGAGTAATTTAGAGAGTTGTCTTGTGTGCAATCAAAGTATGTAATGACTTAAGCTAGAAAATCAGTATTAATAAGTTTTGTTGTGAGAAACTCAATGGCTTGTTATTTATCTATTTTGTTAATATTGTGGTTTTGAACAGCAGTGTTATGATATATAGATAGGTATTAATAGAAATAGAAACCTCATCATTTGGGATTAGTTTTAATAATATTAAAAGAACAAGTGTATTCTTTTGCTTTAGTTGCTAGTTTATTGAGAGTTAAAGTAAGAATTGGTTTTGTAAATGTGGCTTTATATTGGTCTTTAATATAAAATATAAATGCATTAAAGAAAAATTCATTTCATATTTCAGTATCTTCTTTGAAATAAATTTTATAAGATGTTTTAAATATATCTTTAATAAATGTAGATAAGTTGTATATAGGTTGTAGTATAAAAGTTGTTTTTAAATTAGTATCAACTTTTTTTGTTTTTTTTTTTGTATCAGTTGATTTAAGATAGAAATATTTAGTCTGTATAAATGAGTACATAATAATTAGCATGTTTAAAGTTTTATAACATCACTCATGAAGGTTAGTTGGTTTTATAAATTCAATATTAGTTGGCAGAAAATTTTTTAAGTATAAGATAAAATATTGTTTAAATATATATTTAAGATAGTTAGATGCTTTGGTTTTGTTAATAGTATTAGAAAATTGTCAGCTATATAGTAGAAAGTCTTTCTTAAACTATTAATTAAATAACTAAATAAGTTTTTAAATGATAGTATATTATATTTGTCAAAAAAAAAAAGATTTTGAAAGATTAAAATTCAGTTTAATGTTGAATCAGTTATCTATTTTGATGAAAAGATATTGTTGTTCTTTGTCAAAGTCAGTAATCTCAAATATTATCTTAAACCTTTTAGATCTAAGTTTGATATCTTTAACAAATTTGTATAGTTAATTACTTGATACTTATTAAAAAAATATAGATATAAACAAACAAGATTAAGACAAAATTGTAATCAGTTTTTAGTTTTGATTGGTAAAATTGTAGCAAAGAAAGTAAATATTTTAGAATAGTTGAGTTTAGTATAAAAAACTGTTAGAAATATATTAATAAGTTTTTTAAGAGTTTTTTTTAAAATATTAAAGGAGATTGTTGCAGCTTTATTTGTTTCAAAGTTGTGTTTTTGAATTAGATTAATAAGAAATTTTGGTCTGATACTAGCTATTTGTCTAATCAACAAATAAAAACTAGCTTTAAGTACATATTAGTTTCTGTGACTTCTTTAAGAACTTTACTAAGATAAAAATTATATAAGTATTCTTTAAAAAAATTAAAAGGTTAATATAATATCTTAGTTTCTAATTTTGTATAGTTTTGTATTTTATTAATAACTAAGCAATTTGCTAGTCAGTTAAATAATAAGTTAAGTTTAAGTCTTGCTGTTTGACTATTAGATTATTTATTTGATTTTTGGTATTGTTGTTGTTTGTTATTAATTGTTTTATTTGTAATTGAAATAAGAGATTTAAGTTTAAAAATAAGAGAATTCTTAATAATAGCTTGTTTTTAATATAGGTATTATTGTTTTTGTTATTTATTTTTTTTTAAATATTAACGATGAAGCCATGCCTTTAATTTTATTGAAATTCAATTGAAGTTTTTATAAAAAAAATGTTTTTGTTGTTTTTGTTATATTTGTTTTAATAATTTTAAGAATTTTTTAATAATTAAAATTTTCTTTTTTTTGGGTATTGTAATAAGTTTTATTACAAGAACAGTTTGAATTTGTATAAGAGTAAGTATTTTGGTTTAAATAATAGGTTTAAGTTTGAGTTTGTAAATACATTTAGGATGTGCTAAAAATTCTTTAATAATAAGAATAGATTTATTAAGAAGTAAGTATTTATTATTTTCTAAAAAAATATATAAGATGTTTTTATTTTTATAATTAATATAAGTATATGTGTGTTGAGAATGTGCTTGAATTTGAAGAGTTTGTATAAAACTAGATAAAGTTTTTTGTTGAGTTATAGAATAATTTAAAGTAAATGATAATAGAAAAACAATAATTGTTTTTGTAATTAGTGATTGTGAGATAATTTCTTTAAGTTGTCTAATTTGTTTAGATATAATGTTAATATCTATATATGTAAATTTTTAAGAAAAAGAAAGAGAGATTGCTTGTCTAGATGAAATATTAAGATTACTAAAAATAAAGAGAATATAAAATTTTTGGTAATAACAATAAACAATAATAGGTTAAATAAGAGTTTTAAAGTAGTAAAGAGATTTAGAGATATTGCATTCAAATAGATTAAATGCAAATGACATTACTTTAAGTTATATAGGTTGTATTTTTCAAATCATTGTATCATAATGATCACTATACTTGTTATAGAAATAGTCAAGATCAAAATAATCTGACTCTTAAATAATCAAAATAAATATTCTGTTTGATAAAAAAGAAAAATACTACAGGTATACTTAAAGATGAATATTAAAGTTACTTAGTAAAATTTTTTGTTATTAATTATTAAAGTTTTTAATATATAAAATTTATAATAGTAAAGATTAATTTGACAAGGATATGATGTAATACTACAACTACTACAGCTTTGTGTAATCTTAAAAATAATTTTATATAATCTATATAATATAAAGTGTAACTGGTATGACAAGTATAACTTAATATAACAATTTAGTTATACATTTCAAAAAAGTCTTGTAATAGTATATAAGATCAAATTAGTAATGATATTAAACTAGCCTCTTTTGAGCTTAGGGTTTTATTCAGTAAATTGAACATAGGGACTCATGGCCAAAGTCTTAAAGAAGTCATCTTACATTAAAGAATACAACTAGCCATACATGTATTTTTGGTATCTAATTTAAATAGTCTGCCAATGGTTCTATACTAGCTGCCATACCTGCAATCCAACTAGAGGCATTGCCTATTTAAACCCTCTGTGCTGCAATCCTTACTGTGTCACTAAATCATTTTCAATACAGCTATCAGTCAAGAAGGTCTAGATACTTTTACACATTTCCTTTAGGACCTTATACCTTATTTCATGCAGTGTATTCTCAGAAGCATCGTTACTAGAACCTTTTATGTTCCACACACAGCTGATCTAGTTTTATATAATATGCTATAGTTATCCAACACTTGCAATTACAGAGGTTATCTGTTTAACTGCTACATTACATTATTTCTACCCTTCTAAAGTTCACTCAAACCCTGGTACTTATCATTTCGACTTCTTCTTTTTATCCCCCTACTATCCAACTTAGAATTTGACAAACTCCTCAGACTCCCAATCCAGATAGCCTGGTACAATATACCTTAGTATTCTTTTCCTCTAGCGATTCTGACAGCCTAGTTGGTCATGTGCTCCTCTACACATCTTTCCATCTGATTGCATGTCTGCCTATTCCTTATTGGGGTTTTCTGGGCTTCCATTAGTCCAATATCACTGTCAAAGGCTTGTGCTACTCTTTATTTAGAAATTTCCAAATGGGCTTCTGTCTCCTTGGTTTCTTGGTCTTCTACATCTAGTGGCCTTATCATAGGTTTGCACTGAAGATAAGATCAAATTAGTAGAAGAAGAACTAATAAAAAATTATATATTATTTTAAATAATATTAATTGGTTTACTATGAAAATGATTGTAATAATAATTTAATATTATATAAAAATTATGTAAGAGAAAAAAAAATAGAATAAATGAAAAAGAATTTTTTAAAGAATTTATAAGAGAATTAAAATTGTTTTTCAAAGTATTTCTATTAATATTAGGTCTATTAAGTTTGTTTAGACCTTGTTTTGATTAAAGAAATGAGTTTTACAACTTTTTTTTAGAACTGTAAAGTAGATTATAAAACTAATAATTAAAAAAAAAGTTTAAAGATCTAAAGATCATTATTGCAGTATTAAACTGTGAGTTTGAAAATTATATCTTTGAACTTTTAAAATATATATAAAATTAGGAACTGAGCAAGTTTACTTAAGATGTCAAAGTTTAGTTATCTTAATAAAATAACTAGATATTAACAATTTTAGTACTGACAGATTTTTAATTATTTTTGTGTAAAAATGATTTATAGAACAAGTTTTTTATTATATATCTGATTCTAATTTACATAAAAAAGAAATATTAATAATTAACAATAAAAACATGACAAAAAACTAATTCTCAAATGGAATATAAAGTAAGGGTTGAATTGGAAATTATTGTAAATGTAATAAATTCAGATAATAAAATCAGTGAAGAAAATAAAGTTATACTTAAAACTACTGATAATAAAAAAAATAATTATTTGTTAAGTATTGAACTTGAAGAAAGAAAAATAGCTTTGCTAGGATGTCAAGTAAAGGCAAGAAAAGAAGCAGTTGAAGCTGAAGCAATTGAATTGCAGAATTGACAATTAAGAATAAGCTTGGGATTAGATATATAAAAACCATATTGCTATATTATAGTTTAGGTATTAAAATGTAACCAAAAAAATGCTTAATTTGCATTATACATAGATGCTAATGCTAAAATATGCTTAAAAGAGTAAAGAGCGAATGCTGTGTATTTAGTTCATCTTTATTAAAGTTAAATAGTTTAAAGCTTAATACTTTTATTTAATTTAATAATTTTCGCTTAATTTAATACTTTCATTTAATTTAATAATACTTTCGCTTAATTTAAATATATAATACTTTCACTTAATTTAATTCAATATTCAGTACTTTTCGCTTAATTTAATAATTAATATCGCTTAATTATAATATAAATTCGTACTAGTATAAAAAATAATTTATTATTCGTACGTACTAGTATAAAAAAACAAACGTACGTATTATTAAAATTTTCGTACGTCCGTCTAAATCTATACTACTCGTACAGTACTACTTTAGTAAACACCTGGTCATGATCGGTCAGAACTCGATCCCAAAGGACTAATTAACATATGAACTGTAATATCAATTTTCCGATAGTTATTTCCATTTAACTGACATCACACCGTGTGAAAATTCATTAACAGTGGTATAGGTTAGAAAATTCCTTCAAAGTGTAAGTCGCCATGGAAACCTTAAATTTTATCAGCTTTACTAAAAGTCAGCTTTACTAAAAGTCAGCTTTAGCCACATTTAAGCCAAGCCTAACAAAGTTAAGCTGAATAACAGCTTAAGCTACAATCAAAACCGTGGCTTTAATTATGGTTTAAAGTTTATTGATTTTTAACTTTAGTAATGGCTTGAAGCAGCCTGACCGAATGGGTTAAAGTAGAGTTATCCTATTCATCATATTCTTGTGACTTCATGGACATGAATGTCAACAATCTTTTATAACTTCCTCGATAAAAGTTTACTCAACTGCTCTCTATGATTTTTAACATTTTCTTTTTTCCACGGATTTTCTGATGGGTTGATGAAATGATATCAAAGACAAAAAATGAAATAATTTGATCTTACAATTTGACTGGCTAGATATTTTGATTGAATTGCTATTATAAATAATATCGTCTTCCATGCACCTTACTTTCTATTTATTACCGTTACATCCACATAGTCTACTATTATTTGCTTCATATTTACCTAAGTCATGAAAGTTTTACGATTGATCCAGAAAAACTTGAAAAATATGAACATAATAATACGTTCATCTATTATCTAAAATCAGAGATGGGTGATGCTAGTGGGATATTTGAAGTTGGATATTGTTATGACGAATGAATTGGTGTTAAAAAGGATAAACATAAGGGCATTCATTCGTTTTCAAAAATCCGCAGAGGTTGAGAATGCTGATGAAACATATAAGTCCAGGTAAGAATTTGTTATTTTAATGGAATTGGAGTTTAAAAAGGTGAACATGAAGTATTAATTCGTTTTCAAAATCCGACAGATGACGCCAGTGGATCTTTTAATGTTGAATATTGTTATGACAAATTCATTGGAGTTGAAAAAGGTGAACATAAAGCATTCATTCATTTCAAAAATCCACTGAGATGAGAACGTTTATGGAATATATGATCCAGGTAAAAACTCATTTTAATGGAGTTGGAGTTGAGAAGTATAAATATAAAGCATTCATCTATTATCTAAAGTCAGCAGAGATGGGTAACAATAGTGGGACATTTTACTGTTATAACGAAAGAAGTGGAGTTGAAAATGATAAACATAAAGCATTCTTTCTTTCAAAATCCGCAAATATGGGAATGCTGATAGGAAATACAAGTACCGTTTAACACTGTATATAGTATCCGGGGTCTTATTCAAGGACACCATTTGTTAAATTGAATAGTACCCGTAGGTACTTTGTGAGAAACCGGGTACTATATATTGGGGATATATCTGAAGATAATAAATTAAATATAATTATATCTCCGGGTACTATTCAAGAATAAAGCCGGATGGGTAGTGAATAATACCCGGATCTTAATCAAAGTGGGTATTATTTTTAGGGGATAGTGCTAAACGGTCTTATAAGTCTAGGTAAGAATTTGTTTTTTAATGACTTGGAGTTGAAAAGGATGAGCATGAAGCATTCATTTATTTTCAAAAATCGCAAGACATGGGGAATGTTGAAACTTGTTTTAATGGAATTGGAGTTGAAAAGGAACGTAAAGCAATCATTATTATTCAAAATCAGCAAAGATAGGTGACGTTAGTGGATGACGAAAGAATTGGAGTTGAAAGGATGAGCATTCGTTTTCATAATTCCGTTAGAGATGGGAATACTGATGGAGCGTACAATCCAGGTAAGAAATTGGTAATATTTTAATGGAATTGGCGTTGAAAAGAATGAACATAAGCATTCATTCATTTTCAAAAATCTGTGAAAATGAGGAACGTTGATGGAAAGTATAATCCAGGTAAAAATTTTTTATTGCCTTAATGGAATTGGACGAACATAAATCCAAAAATCAGCAGAGGTGGATAATGCAAATGGAATTTTAATGTTGGATATTATGATAAAGTTGGAATTGAAAGGATGACATAAAGCACTCATTCATTTTCAAAATCTGCAGAGATGGAAAACGCTAATAGAACGTCTAATCCAGATGAGATTTGTATTTCAGTGGAATTGGAGTTGAAAAGACTGAACCTAAAGCACACATCCATTATTAAAAATTAGCAGAGATGGGTGTCATTTTCAAAAATCCGCAGAAATGGAATACATAATCCGGGTAAGAAATTGTTGTTTTAATGGAATTGATTTAATATAAGATACTGTTATAAAGGAATTGTGGTTGAAAAAGATGAATCTAAGACATTCATTTATTTTCAAAAAATGCTCAGAGATGAGGAATGCTGATGGAACATATATTATTTTAATGGAATTGGGATATGTAAAGCATTCGTCTCTAGTCAAAAATTAGCAGAGATGGGTGACACCAATGATGCATTTAATGTTGGATTTTGTTATGATGAAGAAAAGAATAAACATAAAAGATTTTTTTTTTACCTTTTTTTTAAAAAAAAAATGTAATATGATATATAAAATAAATTCTACTTAATTTTTAATACTTTTTGTTTTCGTATGATCGAATTTGGTTGGTTGATCGCGGGGTGAGAAATATCAAATATCGCTATAGACGCAGACTTTGACATCACCAAGTTACGTCCTATATATAAATCGGGTTTATAAAATAAAACGCAATTGAGCCGTAACTAGTGACATAAAATAAGTCTACATCTATAAATCACATAAAATAAATTTACTCTTTATACAATCATATTTGCCTAAATTGAATACGTATCTTCATATAGCTTTTAACAAAAAAAAAAAAAATCCAAAAAATATATATTTTATGAATGGGCAATTTTGTAAGTAATAATGACCTATGACTTATTCCTTACTTAATATTAAATAATATTAAATATTTATTACATTCTATTACTTATTATGTATACGTATAAAACACATGATAACAGTCGGAGGCGAGTGATCAAAATTGAGATTGAACGAAAAATTACTGCTAAGAATCAAATTATTATAAATTACTTATTATTACCTATTTCACGGGAATATTAAATAATATTAAGTAATAATATGTAACTGACTTTGTCCATCTCTAATATATTTAAAGTTTTAAAATTCAACTTTATATTTATTTTTTTGAAATCCCGAAATTTTTTATATAAAGTTGAGATATAATATCTTATTTGACCAATAAGTACAACAATCAAAAGGAAATGTCCTATGCCTGTTGAGATTTCTGACTTTGAAACTCTAAGATAAATAAATAAAATTAAAACATCGATGTTTAGCTTCGAGCACACAATGCTATACATTTACCTAGTTAATAATACTTCACCTATTGTTGTTAATGATACTACGCCTATTATTTAATGATGTGTTTCGTTTTCATGATGTCCATGATGTTCCCAAGGATGTCTTAAACCCTAAATGAAATATAATGGTAATCAATTTCATCGAATGTTATTGAAGGTAAATAAATTCAAGGTAAACATACTAAAATTACGGGTCCGTCTTTTTTTCCACGATACAGTATCCCTATTAAATTTAGAACATCTATTAACTTTGTTATAAATTCAGTAATATAATTGATCAATTTTACGTACAGAATAACATTGACCCTCCTAACAATTTACTCATAAAGATATAACCTCTTCCTGCTTGAGGGAAACCATGAGGGCCTAATGCTGCCATTTATTTTAAAGGGTTGAAGTGTAAAGTTTGAATTTTAAGATAAACTGATTGAACCAATTGAAATCGAAATTGTCACACAGTTGATCCGATTTATCCGGTTTATCGTTACCGATACGTACAAAAAAAAATTTTTCATATTTAACTCTGTAAAAGATCAAAGAATATTACGAAGTACGTTTCTGCCAATATTTATTTAATTGAGACTTAATTTAAGAATTTTGATCTAAATTATTAACTTATGGCTGGTCGTTTGCCTTTACGAAATTTCATAATATTTATTTCTAATAATAGTATAAAGTTGAATCATCCCAAACAACCATCTCGACTTCAAACAAGCCCTATTTCACGTGTATTGCGTAGAAGAAATAATACAATTTTAAACAAAAAAATGCCTAAAACAAAACTAGGCTATTATGCAGTTCGTATTGGTCACAAACCTGGAATTTATAAAACTTGGTTAGCGTTTTTTTATGTTATTGTATTCAAAATTATTAATCTATTCAAGTCTAACTCTCTGTTATTTTATTATATAATTTCATTTTAATGGGTTATTAGGGAAGAATGTCGAGATCAAGTTCATAAATATCCTAATGCTAAATATGAAAAGTTCCCTACGCTAAAAGAAGCACAGGCTTTTATATCTGGCGTTAGTATCAGTGAAAAAGAACAAGAATTAGGTGAATTTCATCAATTCATAATGTAGTTGACGACTTTAATAATGGAGGTCAGATCCGAGAATATTCACGGTTAAAAATGAACATTCAATTAAAAGATTGAAAACTCTCGATATCGGTATCAAGATTCGCGGGATGCGAATCCCACGTGACTATTCGTAATCAATCAATCTGCCAATCAAAATCAGAATCAGATACAACATAAATACTGCACAATGTTATTCATAGCGATAGCAAGGCTCATGAATAACTATGAAGGATATTCAAAGGATCAGACCTCTACTTTAATAGTTTTGTAAAAAAAATTTCATCGCTTTAAATTACTTTTCTCCAATCGACGCCAACATTTTATATATCACCAATATCGGCTCGAACATTTTAAGACTTAGACGCTGCCGACAACTCGGTATGCAAATTTGATAAACTTTCTAAATCTATGAATCTATGCTTATTTGAAGTGTACGTGTGTGTATATAATCTTTTAGTATAATGCCGAGGTCACAAAGCTTGTAGTATGGACCGATGGGTGTTCGCTCAATAATGGAAAAGATGGAGCACGTGCTGGTATAGGCGTATTTTGGGGTAACAATCATCCAAGGTATATAATATATACTTAATTATTTAGAATTAGATTATGTTGTGTATAATGAAATTTTTTAATGACATCAATTCATATATCAGAAATCTATCAGAACGATTACCAGGTTATAAACAAACAAATAACAGAGCCGAAATAACGGTGAAATATATACGTTTGTTTTTTTAAATAATATTTTGAATGTTATGCTTACAAACATGACATTTTTCTAGGCTGTCATTAGGGCCTTAGAAACTTGCCCTGATTCTGAACTTCCCCTGGAAATAATGACAGATAGCAAATATACTATAAATGGTAACTCTTCCCTGATCATATCTTCATACAATACAAATTAATTTATTCTCTTTTAGCATATGAATCATGGATACCTAAATGGATTAAAAGTGGATGGAAAACAGCGAATAAAAAACCGGTGGAGAATCAAGACTTATTTGTCCGTTTGGTAGAATTAATTGAGGCAAGACCTGGAAAAGTTTTTTTTGTAATTATACTTTATCATTTGAAGTTTAAATGCATGCACAATTTATATATTTCAACAAAATAATTAGTATGGTTATTTTAAAGACGCATGTTCCGGGACATGTTGGTATTCCAGGTAACGAAGCAGCAGATCGATTAGCTAATTTAGGTGCACTAAAAGAGGAGGTTAAAACTACGACTGTTTCTTCCACTGAACAAAAATCCCAAAATTCTAAAATGAATTTTACTGAAGATGACTTCTATTCACCGGAAGAACTAACAGAAATTGCAGCTGAAATCTATTCATTGCGCAGGTGAAATGTGAATCGCCTGATATAACTACCAAATCGTCTATGTGAATGCCGATTAAAATCAGATTTCTATTCAACACTGTAATTCATGATTATTGATTATAAACTAAATGAGAAGTCAAATTAAGCGACACATAATAATAAGAATCTTTTCTGAATGTATTTAATATAAGATTTTAAACTTAGAATGCGCGACTGAAAATTTGTTCTGTTTAGTAATATTTGACTTAATCGCATTAACCGTAGTTTAAGTATTATAAGTTCAAGCTTAGTATTTTGTAAAACAAAATTCAAAATAAATTTTGACTGATCAAAATCTTTTTGAACAAATTTGCATAAATAGCAATTTAAATATTCAAAGTAAATCTTTTAATAAAAATAGGGAACTGATATTTCCACACCCATATAGGATCCTGCCACACCCCTGTAATCACTTGACACCGTACATGAAATAGT